TCTATTTGGGCCCATTCTATTTGGGCCCGTGGGAGGGGGGGATAACCAATTAGCCACTCAGGGCCGTTATCGCGGACTTGGCGACGCAGAACAAAGAGATCCGCTTGCTGAACACCGAAATCCAGAAGCCAGGGACACTCAGACACTTTTTTTCGGCGGTGGGTCACAGGAATAGGAATACCTTTTGAGTGGCTTAGCATGGTTGTCGTTGGGACACATTTTACATGTTTGCTTATTGCAGTTTAGTGGGAAATCCCCACTTAAATGCTAACAAATAATTTGTTGCTCCCCTTCCAACCAAGTTAGGATTGTTGTAGCTACCACCATTTTAGCCACTACCGGTATCATAAGATCACTGTTTGCTAATAAAACAAAATACGGCTGAGTTTGAAGGAACGCAACTCACGAAGAATGATCCTGGAGTCTGCAAGACCCCAATCAAATGGGGCGACGCTAGACTTCAAGAGGTAAGTCAAATGGAGTTGGGAGTTCAAGAATCCTGGCCATGTGAATCATGCTCAGTTTGTCATCTGGATGTCCTGATGGCGATCCAATTCGTCATGGTACAGCTTACCCTTTCAAATATGGGTCATACTGTGGATGGACGAAATCCGCACCACCTAAGAAACCCTGGAATTATGAATTCCCTGCACATACCAACAAACAATGGTTCCATGGTTTCAAACTGGTGCGAAATGGATTTCGTCCATCCACTGCAGGACGCTGGTTCCAAACGAGTTTTCCACCCGGACCCGCCGGTCCTTCGTGACATGGACAAAACAATGGGCGCTGAAGGCTCCATTTGTCCCGGCTTCGGCAAGGGCCACTTTAGAGGGTCGCTGCGAGCTTGAAAAAACAGATGACACAGGCAGGGAATTTGAGAACCGGTTTCACTTGGCATCCCGAAAAAACGGCCACAGTTCTACCAACTGCCCTGGTCGCATGGCAGCATCCCCATCTGCCAGTTTGTCGACCATGGTACGGGCATGTGCGGTTGGGTCAACTTTAGACCCGCACTCGGTCCATTTGCGACTCGCTGCAATCTCAACACAAAACGCAGGCGACTCAGGAATGGTCCCTTTGTGATTCATGGTTTCGGAAGGGGGTGGGTTTGCTCGAGTTGGCTTTAGGTTATCGAAGGATGGGTGCTGGGTGATTTGCTCCGGTCGGGTAAGATTACGTTCGTATTCCATGTCGGCGAAGTATTGTATTCAGATAGAGGAAACCGTGATACTCAACCATTGTGGTGTAGTTCCACCAAGGGGGGTCCCAACAAGAAGGGATTCCTCCAAACATGAGTCTTTAGCGTGGTTCGCTTGCTGTGTCGCTTTGAGTTAAACCCGGCGCGGCTTGACCACTGAGGTTAGTTATTAGCCACTTTCCGGATCTGAAGTCGGACAAGGCCGACATCCGCAACAATGTGTTCCCTTCGGATAGGTCATTTTGAACTTTGATAGGGAACCTCCATCAATCCCCGCCAAGTTCTGATATGGCCATAGGGAACCACCTCAAAAGTGGTTGGTGGACATGAATTTTCACCTAAATGATGTCCACCAACGGGTCCAGGACCCATTAAATTTCGTGCCCATATCTGACAGGCTCATGGACCCATTCAAACTCCCCAAGGCATTTGTGAGGAGCTCGAGGGCCCGTATGACTCACTTCCTGAGTTCCTGGACTTTATACTTTTTGGGAAGACCATCTTAGTCTAGGTCCCCCAGTAGTGCCCGTTTACGCCTTTTTGGGGGGAGGGTTCCCCTACCAAAATAGACTACAGAAAAAGGGTACCCTTATTCTAACCTTTCTACTGGAGGACCTAGCAGACCGTCTTAGTGGTGCCCTCCTTTCCACTAACATGGCCCTCTGACCTCTGGGAGGGTACCTGGAAGATTGGTTTCCTCTTCAAGGGACCCCATGTCTGGTGCTATGTTAGTTGGAGCGGGGTTAAACAAAAAGTTCTCCAGTAGGCGCAGCCCATAAACCTGCACATTGTCGTGTGGTTGCGCCCGCTCCAGTTGCAATCAATCCTCCAACAAGGGCCACGCAATCGACCAACTTGCTACGTTTTGCGCGCTACTTACCCATTATAAGTATAGACTTTTTCTGGCCAATCCAGTCAAGTCAAATGAGTTCTTGAAAGCCTCCTTCACCTTTCCGGGGCCGAACTTCTTTCCTGGCGAGCCCCGGCATGTTGTTGGCCTGGAAATTCCTTATCAGGGAGTTTTGACCATGGCCAGAGGAGTTTTGACCATGGCTGTGCAAACCAAAGGATTCAGCTTGCGGCATCCAACTGATTGAATGATCAGCGCTTGCTGTTGGCGAATTCGGCAGGAGGTTGTTCTCCCCTGGTGTAGTAGGGATAGTGAGGGCTTGAACACAACTAACAACCATGTCGTCAGAAGTTAAAGGATGCTGGTGCCATTATGTTTGTGAAGACTGGTAAAAGAGATAAGCTAGCCAGACGCCAAGTTTTAGAGATGTGTTGCGTTCCGCATGCTGACACCAAAAAGGCAACTTGAGGGCTCGCCTAGAGTCCCCAGATCAAAACTCCACGTGTTCTCAGATATTATTGTGTTACAGTCTCAAGGAAGGACTTTGTGCATTTGACGCCCTAGGCTTTCTGCTTGGAGATGGATTGCCAGAGACAAGTCCGGATCGGCAGATCCCGTTGCTTGAAACCGTTGTGAGTCACTCGGTGTTTGTGCGTGTCCCTTTCTCAGAGACCCACACGCGGGTGCTTGCTGCAAACCTTTTCCTTTCAAGATCAGGTTCCATTCGCGTTTCAGGATATGTTTTATTTTCCCCTCTTGGTTTTAAAGGGAGTTTGTCACTACTGCTTTTGTGTCCAGGGGAGTTAAGCAAATGGTCAGTCTTACGTGCAAGCCTTCGGCTCGTGCCATCGGAAGGTGGCAGACGTGCCTCGGGAAGACGAAGTGAAAGACGTAGAGGCGAGCCGCTTGACAGAGGTAGCGGCCTTAAGCATTCAAAGGATCTCTTGGGCCGATGGACATATCATGCACCCGAGTGCGTGGAGCTATTGCAACTGATTTCGCTGTAGCTTTTGCAACTGGTCTTTGCTGTTTTGGCTTTCCTGACTTGAGCTGTTACCAGGAAGTAGACTTGTTGCGGGTCTAAGTTTTTTTTCTGTGGGATGTTTTTGGGAACTCGCTCTTGTCCATGGACCTGTGGCGAGTATGCTGCGGTCGGCTGGTTGCGGCAGGAGTTTTCTCTGAAATGGGGTTTGTGTTTGTTAAGTGTACCTCTTTTTGCAGGGCTCCTCAAAAGATAGCCATTTTGCAACCATTTGAAACATGTTGCTTTTTCAACACCAAAATAAGGGGAAACCACCATTTATGTTAGGCAATGTTCAGGTGAATAATGCATCCGGATCCCTGTTTTGGAGTTGGTTCAAACGGAAACTGGAGGGACGCCACTCAATTCTTGGATTCCCTATTTTGACACATACCCAACTCCTACAAGACGAGGATGTCTTTTTTATTCACGGGGAGCAAGTGGATGGCAAAGAGGAGCCAGGGCTTAAAGAGGGTGTTTTTTGATTGAACTTTACCTTGGTTTCCATTCACAATTGACTCGTCTTTTGGTGGTGCTTAGAGGGAAATACAGGAACCTATTTGAAGGTGTGAGTTGTGATTCGGGGATGTTGCCGGAAGCGAGAGAAGCCCAGGGCTCTTGGGCACTTGAATGACATGGAAGGATCGGGACCTGCGGCTTCTCTTTGGGAGAAGTGGCCATGTTTCTTTGGTGCATTTTGCCAAAGAATGTTAGGACTGAACAACTCTTTGCAACTTCTGGGGTTTTCCGTAATTAAACCACTAAAAGTTATTCGGACTTTTAGCAGGGGAGCAGATTTCGCAACCGAGATTTGCATGGCAACATCCAGGCTCAAATGTGCCATCCGTTTCCGGTAAGGGACCTTGGACAATCACGAACTGTGCCGCGTGAGGTGAGTGTTTTGCGAGCGAAGTGAGGGCGGATGGCCCATGAGTCTCCCATGTCCCTGCCAAAAGAAAACCATTTGTTAATTCTGGAACCTGAATTAAGGTGGTTGGGGGGCTATTCCCCACTTAAATTACCATTTGGTTGGTGAATTCGGTCGTGTGAGGTTGTTATAATTCACCCAGACCAATGGAAACGAATGGAAATCAACTTGAAGTCGATTCTTGGAAACCTCTTGAAACCAAGGACATCAGTTCCATTAGCAACCAATGGAACCTCAAGTGTCTCAAAGAAACCGATGCCCAGAGAGAGACGCATGCCGATCTTCCGATCCCTTCCCAAGGCTGATCCACGGGAGCTGTTCAACGTGCATTTGCCGGATGTGGGTTTCCGGGATGTGGGTTTCCGGTTTTTCTTTACATGTTCAGGTTGACTCAACATGGACCGTGACAGGTATCATATTGGCTTGGGGTATGGGCCAGAATGAGAAGACTATCTTTGATTGGGGGCCAAAACCGTCTTTGGGTTGCGGGAGGAACCACCGCAGACATGGACGTGTCGGCGAAACATGAATGCCATTCGGGACACGCCAGGATGCTCCGGAGAGTAACCGCAGGCGGGTAGCAACCGACTTGGATGTTCAACCCACGCCCACGCCATCCCTCCAAAACATGGAACTCGAAAAAGGTGTCCCCCAAGAAGAGATTCCTAGGTATTAATCTGCAGGAGAGAATTCCTGGGGCAACTGGGATTTGTCTCCTTACAACGTTTAAATGGCGCGGTTCAGCATCCAAGAGCACCGTCCAGCCGGCTTCGGGAGGAGCGACACAAAGGTTTGGAAGTTCCTTTCTCCGGGGCAAGCGGATGAATCATACTTCGCACTCGGTGAAGACAAAGTCCATGGGAGCTTTGCAACTAACCCATCCATTGGCAGCTTGCTTCGATTTTGGCAGGTTCCTTGCGTCCCTGTTCAATAATTTGTGCCGTTAGAGACCTCGCACTCGGTGCGCAAGACAAAACCCACGGGAAATGTGTTGCAACCCATGGAGTGGCCGCAGCTCGCTTCGATTCGATCTTGGCAGGTTCCCTTAGGCCAGCCTCGGCCCTCGATTTCTTTTGGTGCCGGAGATCTCATCGGGGCCTGGTGTACTTGCTCTTGAAAGGCCTCAGGTTTGAGCGAAGTGAATGCCGCAGACCTCGAGGCGCGCGCCCTTTCTTCCTTTGGGTTTCGAGACAAATAAATCCAAGAAAAACAAACAAGCGAAATGCACAAAGATGCGAACACGCAAATATAGACGCACGCCACACAGAGACACGCACAGCCACAACCACAAACACACAGGCACACCGACAAACAAAACACACACACACACACACACACACACACGCAGAAGCAAAACAACAACACCCATTTATTCGAGGTTGTTAGCAACCCTAGTGCTGGTTGTTTGGGATGGTATAGGAACGCTGAACTTTGCCATATTATGTTGCTTGGGCACCGTCCACGGTTTTTACCAGATATATTGTTTAGAAGCTAGATGATATGCCAAGAGGAAACCAAGAAGGGGCGGGTAATCGTTTGATTCTTCCAACCTCTCTCTCTCTCTCTGTATTTGGCAATGAGTTTTAAAATCCCCTGATGTCCACCAAAGGGCCCCACATAAACGAAGACGAGAAGAAACCGGAGACACTTCGGTCATGCATCCACCTCCAATCGCCTCATGCGCGGCTGGGCGGCCATCGCCTTGGCCTGCGGAATCGCAGATGCCGAGGCGCGCGAGTCGCGTTGACGAAGATCCTCGACAGACGACTTGTTCCATGTCGCTCGTAAGTATGTTATAGTCATGAGCAAGGAAACGGAACGCACAGTTGTTCCGGTTGGAATTATGGTTGTAACCTAGGTGGAACGTGCATCCAAGTTTGGGGGAAGTGGATCTGCGATTTCACGCGCAAGGAGTGTTCCAAGCTTGGAACCTCCCTGTTTGCAGGGCCACCCCAAACCCATTGGCTAAGACTAAGTTGTCGCTGTCTGGAAAAGGGGGCTGTTGAGACCTCACCTGTGGTAGAAGGTTTTTGTTGGTAAGGAATCCTTCTTTATTTGGGGTTGGTGGCTTCCTTTTTGCTTCCCATTGTACACTCATCCAAAAGAGTGTCCTCAAGGTGGTGGTGGTGGTGGTGGTGGTGGTGGTGGTGGTGGTGGTGGTGGTGGTGAGGGGATGGTGATGCTGATGAGCCTCTAGTAAGGTGGTCCACGCTGTTTGGATCCGTACACTTTCCGCAGTGGATGGCTCCATTGATCCTGGGTTATGCATGAACAGCCGACCGGACCGGACCGTTCATTTTTTGGAGGTTGGTCCAGGTACCAACAAGTGATGGCCGTTTTGTCTCCGGTCCTTTGGGCAAGTTATGTCCGCTTGAGGTTAAGATTTGATATGGGCGCCCTTTGAGTTGGCGCAAATGATCCTCATTTGTGTGGTTTGGGTGTCTTCTCGTTAACATCCAAAGCTCACGAATAAACCAATCGTCGGCCACATTCATTCATTCTTCCACAACGTGATGGCCCTTTACTTTCCTGAGGATTAGAAGAGAAGCGCACAGCACCATCAGTTTTAGCAGAATCTTCTGCGGAAAGCCTGTGTCTGGAAAGAAGGTTCCCGTTGTGAGGGGCACCCAACCTCTCTCTCTCTCTCTCTCTCTCTCTCTTTTTGAGGGAAACCCCGGATTTGGCGCTGAATATCTCACCGGACGGCGTGACTTGCAACGATGGATCCCCAGAGTTCGTCTTCGATGGACCTTTCCAACGACCTTCATTTTCAGAGGACCCTGAGTGAAGCAACCTCAACCTTTTGCAGCTTGATCATTTTGCAGCTCCAAAGAAAAACAGCTCAGGTTGAGCACAAGGGCCACCGAAGAAAAACCGACACTACATCCAGCCGAACCCCCCGGCCGCTCGTTTCTTTTTTTCCCCACGGAGGGAGATGGCGACTGCTTGCGCCTCATGGACTTGCAGCTCCGCAGCTGGAACGCAGTCGGGCGGGCGGTCGCCCCGAAGCCCGCTCCAAGTCCCACTAAGTGGACGGGTCGGTTTGGTTTTTTTTTGGGGGGGGGGACCAAACCCCCCCCTTGTTGGATGGCTTTGCAAAGGAAAGCCAGAAGAACAATCACTGCTTGGATGGGTTTAAAGGAAAGCCAGAAGAGAACAACCACTTTTTGGATGGCTTTTCAAAAGAAAGCCAAAGAAAAGAATCACCAATTCTTTCTTCATTTTTTTTTGGGGGGGTCCCCTAAAATAGCACACTCAAGTACAGGCTTTGGGCCTAAAGCAGTGCAACACCACCTAGCATCGCCAGGGGTTTTGACATTGAATGGCGCGTGATCTGAATGGGCTTGGAGCGCACCGCTGGGGTCAAGAAAAGAGCTTTCGTCGTGTCTTTCTTTTTGGGGGGGTCACCCAAACTTGTGTTTTTTTCCTTTTGATTTCCCTTTTGAAACCATAACATGTTCCTTTTGGTTTCATTCTTGAAGCCACAAAAGATAGGTCTACCCTCAAAGAAGCCACGCCCACATAGGTCCTGTTGGGGTGGCGCAGTACTTCGAAGGCCTTGCGAGGGTTGCCGAGTACCTGCGAGGCCAGAGCCACGTTCAAGATCCGATCTGCCAGCAGAAGATCGCAGGCGGAGTGTTCGGCATATGGACAACTAGGTCCCCCGGCTAGGTGCTCTTTTGCCCTTTTGTTTTGCGGAGGGTTCCCCTACTAAATTCGACTACAGAAAAAAGGGTACCCTTATTCTAAGCTCTTTACTGGAGGACCTATAGACAAACAGCCACGCGAGGCACCTGTTGTGGATGAAACCTTGTGAATACTGAGATAAACCACCTACCTGGTGCGAGACTTTGTCCGCAGCTGGGAGTAGGTGGTAAGGGTTATATGGCAATATGGGAGTTGGGCCAGTAATAGCCATTTTACCAACCCGTGCGTACTAAGTGTTTCTATACATGCGCGTGCTTGCCTCATGGTTGGAGCTTCTTGGTAGACGGGGCTTGATGAGGGCCCTTACTTGGCCATCCCTTATGCGGGATTTTGAACCACAACTTCTGCCGATATGCTGATCTGTCTTTTTGCAGGGGCTGCTTTTCGTGGCACGTAGATAGCTATGTGCCTAAATATGTGAAAGTTTCGAAAGTGACGGAACGTAGACCGGTACATACGTTTTGTCAGGGCACTTGTTTACTGGTACAGTTCCCGGCCCATATTGCCTGGTGGCTTCCGGGCAAAGGAGGAAACTGATTGGAGGTTGGGCTCTGGAAAGCGACGGCGCCCTCCAGGAGGGTTCCGGGTAAATCTGGGGTGAGTTATTTCCGTCTAAGCCCAATACAACCAAGTTGGTGGTAACTTGTGGGTTATACAGCACCAGAGGCAAGGCCAAGTTTGTTTTTTTTTGTGGGAAATATTGAACTAGAGGCAAGGCAAAGTGTTTTTTTGGTGGGCAATACTGACTAGAGGCAAGGCAAAGGCTGAACTTCAATGCTCCGGGGATTTGACTCAGTTGAGCAGCTCTAAAAACCCCCCGTTACATGCCAAGCAAGAGTTGTGTCATAACAAGGCCCCGCGTAAGCAAAAGCCTGCACGGCGTAAGCGGGCGTAAGCACTTTTTTGGGGAAACATGTTGCGTAAGCACCTGCGTAAGCTCTTCTTCGTGATTGCTTGGTAAGCTTTGTAAGCATGCTCGGAAGAGTTGTCCCACATGTGCTTATGCGTTTTTTGGTGGCTTGTGCTGTTGCAACCTAGCCGAGCTTGGCAACTTGCCCGGAGGACTTTGCCTGCAAGAAGACGTCTAAGACCGCATGTGCGCACCATTAGGGGAAAAAACAACAAGCATAACTTTGATTGGGAGCTCTTGGGGCTCATGCTAGGTGCTGTCGCAACCTCCACTAGGACAAACAAAGGCTTCAGTAGCCGCTGATTTAGGAAAACTACAGGGGCGCGGGCGCGTAAGCTCGCGTAAGCAGGCGCGTAAGGTTCGCGTAAGCTCGCCTAGCTCAGCTGCCCGCTAGCCGTCGTGATGGATGCCGCTACCGCAAAAACCGGTTTCTTGATTTGCAGCAAAAACAACAACGCCAAGCTGCTCAAGCTCGCGAGCGCAGTTCTTCGTCATCTCTTCCACACAGTCATCCACATCATCTTCAACAGCTCTGGCGGCTGCACGGGAAAAGAAGCCCGCGTAAGCAATTCTTGAGGGGAAACGCTCAAAACGCCGACGCGTAAGCGATGCGTAAGCTTTACATGCTGTCTGACTGCCGCGTAAGCTAAAACATGGGTCGCGTAAGGAAAGCGCAAGCTTGCGCGTAAGCAACTTGATACGACATAGGGATTCATGGGAGGTTTATAGAGTCGCTCAGTTGGATTGTAAGCCGCCCAGACTGTGCTGCGATCCTGGCTCCTTCGAAGCGTGCGGTGATATAGAATGATATAGATTAGAAAGCACAGTACAGCCAGAATGCTTCTGCCCGGGCGTCTTTGGTTTGATTGGTGCCTTTGACAACTGCCAGATGACCCACTTCTGAACATCCTGGACTTGACTTTTTGAGAAGACCGTTTCAGTGGCAAGCAACCAGTTTCGACTTTTTCAGCCAGGCCACAAAGGTTTTCCAGATGCCCATGTTGTCACACCAGTACTGCAGGTGCATCCTTTGGATGTCACGCCATGATCTCCCGGTTTCGGCGTGCCGGGCTGTGTGGGCACAGTTGGAGGTATCCTGGCGCGCGCAAAGCCATCTGCCCGTGGAGCTCCATCCGCTCCTTCTCGATCAATCTGCAAAGCAGCTGGGACTCGCTCCCATCCTCCGAGCGGGACGCCTGGCAGGTGCTGGAGCTGGATGAGACCGCTTGGAAGCTGGGCACACAGGACAAACTGACACAGAACCAACTCCAAGTGTCCAGAGGCTTTCATAGAACCGCCAAGTCCAACCAAATGGGCTGTTGACATGTGGGTGTGGCTCAAAAGTAAACAGGAGGGGCAAACCGCAGGTTTTGGTCCATGTTTCCACTTACCAGGGTTCCATTTACTGGTTTGTCGAGCCACCGCCATGTTTTGACCTGAGACTTGTGCCAAGGAAGCGGCTCCAGTCCGGCAGCACTCCTTTGAGACGATTTGAGCACCTGACCAGCGCCCAGCAAGCGGCAGTTCTCTACGGCCTGCGGGCGGACGCCTCCGAGTGGAATGCTTTGGTGGCTTCCACTGGCTTAAGAATCTGTTTTTTGTTTTTCTTTTTCCCTGTTGGTTTGAAAGGGAATCTATCACTGGAAATATGTGTCTTCATTTTTTCCATGGGGCTTAAGCAAATGGCAGGTGGAGAGGTCGCCGGAAGCGGAAGAACGGCAAGTCGCAGCGGTGCCTGGGTTCATTTTGATTCAGTGCTCCCGAAGCCCAAAACAGCTGGCCACCACAGGAGAAATTGGATCAGGTTCTTTTGATTAGGCCAAAGGACCATAAAAATCCGAGGGATCCCTGAGATGATTCAATTCTTCGATTCCTCACTGGAGAAGGGGCTATCGAAGTCCCTATCCGTCGTTTTGGGGACGAGCCTCAAAGGTATCTGGAGATTTGTTCGGTTCGGTGAGGTTTGTGGGGAGCAAAGCAAAAACTCACATTTCGACCGTGGCTCGCAAAAGATGCGGTTCAATCTGTCTCTGACATCTACCTTGTCTCATGGGGGCTCGGGAGGGAGGGAGGAGAGGGGGAGGGAGCCCAAATAAGCCCTTAGTAAGCCCCTAATAAATTTGGGGCTGCCTCCCCCCCTCCGCCCCCAGCCCCCATGATTGTCCCAGGTTCCAGCGCGCAGTTCTGGATTGGTGGATTCCATCATCGGCGACCTGGCGGGTTAGACTCAATTGGCTTACCTCTAAATCGGGCACCGCCCAAATGGGCTTCGGTTTCCCCTTTGGTTTTGCTGGTGGCTCAAAATCAAACAGGAGGGGCAGAACGCAGGTTTTGGTCCATGGTTCCACTTACCGATCGGGCAACCCATGTTGGCTGTTGGTACCAGTTTTTGGAGCCACAGCCTGCTTTCAAAAGACCCAAAAGGGCAACCCTCAAAGAACAACTTGCCATCAGCTCTTTTTTTGCTGTAAAGCTGCTTGGAAGAATGGGGCAACTGATTGGAAGGGCACGTCTCATTTTCTCCAAATTCGCCCTTTTAACTTTGTGGGTGTTCCTGGCAGGTACTTCAAAACTCAACAGGCTTTGGACCTTGGAATTATTGGAAGTGAGTGTTGAATCAACAGCTTCAGGATTCTCGCAAGGAAGCCAAGTAAGGGACGGATGTTCGGTCATTCTAAAGCCAACGGATGCCTTTCCTCCGACATTTTTTGGCTTTTCCTACGCTTTCTGGAGGGTTGCCCTTGTATGGAGCTAGGGAAATGGACAGGAAAGCCAAAGTCGCTGTGTTTGGAAGTCTCGTTGTGCTGACTTGACTGCTGCTGGGTTGGATCTTTACACTTTAACTTTTTGGGAAATCAAGGGGTTTCCACGAAACCCCAATAAAGTTATTCACTTTTTGCAGGGTCGTTTCAGCAACCAAGCTGACACTTGCAAAAAAATCCCGCATCCTTCACAACCACCGATGCTCAGGTGGTGCTTGGCACCTCACCAAGCGCTACGGCCCTGCCTTGGGCGCCCTGCTCGCCAGCGACGTTGCGAGGACGCCGTCGAGGCGCTCGAATGCGCCGCTGGCAGCGCATGTGGTGGGACAACTGCTGCTCGGTTGAAAGGCAATCAACCCGATCAACCTTGGTCTTGCAAATGGCCGCATGTTTGGTTGATTGGTTGTTTGGTTAGTGGCATGGACGGGTCGGTGTGTGACTGAGGAGTTGACTACTTTTCAAGAGAAAGGCATTCGGGTTTTGGAGTGGCCAGCAGCAATCTGAGCCAGTCGACTGTGCTCCTTTCACTGGTGCAACTGTGTTTTGTTCCCTTATCACCATGGTTCTAACCTACTTTCATTTCAGCAATACGAACAGTTTAGCTTCACAAAGTAGCTAACTTGTTTAGTGTCGTTGAAACGATTCATATATATATATATGGGTTTGTCTTTTTTTGGTGTGTTGGGTTGCTTCAAAAGGCAGAAGGTGGGACCTCCCCGAATCATACCCCCGAATCATACCCCCGAATCATACCCCGAATCATACCCCCGAATCATACCCCTTAAAACGTATGCTGCAAGATGCTAATGTTCTTCTACCGTTTTGTGTTGTTCACTGTCTCCACAACAACCACCACCAGCGCTACCCAATACTACCACTACTACTAGTACTACTACTACTACTACTACTACTACTACTACTACTACTACTACTCCAACTACTACTACTACTACTACTACTACTGCTACTACCACTACTACTACTACTACTACTACGACTACTACTACTACTGCTACTACCGCGACTACGAGTATTACTACCACTACCACCGCTACCACCGCTGCTACTACTACTCTACTGCTTCTACTTCTGCTACCCTTACTACTAACTACTACGACTACAACCTTGACTACTACTACTACGACTACTACCTTGATTACTACTACTACTACTACTACTACGACTACAACCTTGACTACTACTACTACTACTACTTACTACGACTACTACCTTTATTACTACTACTACTACTACGACTGCAACCTTGACTACTACTACTACTACTACTGCTACTGCTGCTGCTACTACTACTTCTACTACTACTACTTCTACTACTACTATTCCTGCTTCTGCTGCTGCTGCTGCTGCTGCTGCTACTACTCACTACTACCACATACATCATTCTGAGTCTGTAATTAGTGCCGTTTTGCACCTAGCCGAATCATACCCGCGAATCATACCCGAATCATACCCGGACAATGAGCTTCCCCTGCCAAGGCTAGTGCTAAGTCTTTTTCACAGCGTCCGCACCACTACAGCCTCTGCTGCTTATGCTACAGCTGCTACCACTACTTCTGCAACTGCTACTACTACTACTACTACTACTACTACTACTACTACTACTACTAGGACTACTGCTACTACTATTTACTACTACTCCTTCTACTGCTACTACTACTACTGCAACAACAACAACTACTGCTACTACTACTACTACTACTACTACTACTACTACTACTATTGTTACTACTACAATATTTCTACTAATACTACTACTTGGGCGACTACTGCTACTACTGCTGCTGCTGCTGCTGCTTCCGCGAATCATACCCCCGAATCATACCTCGAATCATACCCGCGAATCATACCTGCGAATCATACCCCGTACTCAAACCTTCCTGCCCGGCCACCCTAAAAAAATACAAACCCATATATATATGGTCAGGCCCCCCATGAACTACCTTTCCTTCTTTCTTCATAAAACGACTGCAAAAACACACTGTGTTGTTCCATAGTGCTTGGCTCTCGACCATACATATATATATATATATACATACCTTTATATATATATACATATACATATATACATATATTTATATGTACATATATATATATATATATATTTATTTGGTAACGTATTTAACTTGTTTTAACGATGACACGTTTTTCTGAATTCGCAGGCCCAAGCTCAACCCATGGCTCGCTCGCTCGCTGCGCGCACGCTCGCTGGAGGCTTCAGCAGCTGCCCTGGGCCTTAGATTTGCGCGAGGGCCCGGTGACGGTGGATGGCCTCGAGACGGCGGGGACGTTTCGCTTCGGCTTCGGCAAAGACCTGGGCTCTTGGCTCCCAGCCATCCGGTTGAGCTCTTTTAGCCTTTTGGTGTTTAGTGGTAGTTTCCATAAACCCACTAAAAGTTAAACTTTTAGCGGGGGATCTGAGGGCACCGCGGGGTTGAGGCTACCATAGGTGTCCTTTGTAGCTTGGTTTGTTCATAAGTAGATGGCACTGGTTTGGTTTTGCAACTGGGCGGCACTGATCTATATGGTACCATAGGTATCCTTTTCGTTTGGTTATAACTAGATTGATGGCATCGGCTTATTATTGAATTATTGGTGTCATTCCATTTGCCAGGCCTTTCGATTTTCCCACAAGGACACCCATGGAGGGTACCCCGGGTGTGACACATAGCCAGTTGGATGTTCGCAGAAGTGATATGCTCAACCATCTTTACACATGATTATCGTGTCATGACTTAATTTGGTGTCAATGTTCCCGCAAGCGTCTAATGATTTAGCCCCTTATAGATCATAACCATGGTCAGCCCACAGCAGAAAAAAGTATAACCATGTTTTATCAGAGAACTAACCGCAGTCACTCCTGTTGTACTGTAACTTCTGCTACAACCTGTTTGCCTGATGCGGGTGGAACATCCATGCTTGTGGAATGTGTTGTTCACGGCCTTTGTGTGCCACAGTTGCCTACCCCAAGAATGGATCCAAATGGGGCGAAGTTTGCTGAACATGCTTAGACCTGTTTGCTGGGCTGAACAAAGGGTTGTCCCAGGTTGCATCAGCCTCTTTGGCATCAGTTTAATTAGTTTCTAACAATGCCAGACATCGGGCTTTGCCTTCAATTGCCCTTTCAACCAGCCAGCGAAATCGCTTTGTTGAAGTGTCGATTATGTGGGTATGCGTCAAAATTATGCCACCAGGAGACCGCAGATAGTAGTCCATGTTTCCATTTCCCAGAGTTCCATTTCAGATACATATGTTTGACCCACAGCCATGTGTGGATCAATTTAGATGTTACATGTCAAGGCTCTTAACGGCCCTCTGAACGGGACCCTTGTTGCACGACGAAAGGACCTACTGTGGACGTACGAAAATCCATTTCGCACCACCTAAGAAACCATGGGAAAACATCGTTTGTTGGCATTTACAGACCTTCCAGGGTGTTTTGGGTGCAGGATGTCGTCCATCCGTATCGAAAAACATCTCGGCACTTGCCAGCAAGGTGCCACCCTCGTGGCCCAGTTATTTTGGACGCATGTGATTTGCTGGAGGGCGTTGGAGGGAGGTAAGGAAGATGGAAGGCTGAATTCTGGAAATGGCCATAGTTTTTTCCATTCGGAAGGTTGAAGGTAGAAATGGTACCAGTCCAAACGATCCAAAGCTGCCAGCAGGTGCTCTACTTGGATGACTCAGCATCGATGAACCATAGCCCGACCTAGCTTGCCTTTTGACTTTTTGCCTTTTTGGTTTTCTTTCCATGTTCCCTTTTCAACCAGCAAATACTTTGTTTACTGGTTGCTCGAATCCACGTTTTTTAGGAGCGGCGCCAACCTGTCAGAAGCTCAAGCTTCCTTGCGAAAGATGGCTCACCTCTTGCAGGACAGCCCCACGCGCGTGTGCACGCGACTCGCGCGAGGGAAGATATGGGCTATGTGTCACATGGGGGCGACAGACACCACCGAAAACGGTCTCTTCATTCGGTGTCCTTTTAACACCCCAAAAGGATACCCTTAAAACAAAACCTCGGTGCTATGTCCTTGGGGTTGGTAGTCTCGGTCATGGACCCCCCTAAAGAGATAATTTCGACCGACCGCGGCAACGTGTAAATGGTTCGCATGCAAGGAACCACCATGGCCGCGTGTTTTGACCAGGGCACCTATGAACTGACTTTGTCTAGGTCCCCCAGTAGGTTATTACTGGCCTACTGATGGAGGTGTTTTTTTTCCCGACGAAAGCTAGGGGGACAACCCTATTACATCCATTTGCTTAATGTCTTCTATCTTCCCCGGTTGGGGTTTATCAGACTATCTGTCACTAACCTGCTTTTCTTTTTCCCTAGGAGACTTAGGCAAATTGGAGGATTATCTCATGTCCTCTTGGGAGAACGCGTGATATTTTCCTGTGGGTCTTTTGTGCAGCCCGCGGCTTTTTCGTTAGCAACTAACGGTCACAGGGGCATACAGGAAAAGCATTCTGCCATCCATCTCTCTCACTCACTTCGTTCCTCAGCTCCATTCGTTTCCTTCCGGAGTCTTTAGGGAGATGCTTCGCCCGGCAGTAAAGACAGGAAGGTAAGGGATGGCATATCTTCTCTCTCTTTGACCTGCATTTCCCTGTTATCTGTTTCATATTGCAAATCCTTGGAAATGCAGAGGAAGATAAGGGAGAGAGAAGATAAAGAGATGAAAGCAAGGAATAGAAAGGGAGGTGATGGATGCCAGCCAATTTCCTGCATCTTTCATCACCTGTTCTTTTCCCTTCCTCTTTCTTCGTTCATTCCTTCACTCATCTCTCGGACACATGCTCCATCATAATCCTAATGTAGGAACGGAATGAAATGGAGAGAAGAGAGACAGATGGAGGATGGGGAAGAGAAATAGATGTGAGAGATGATGAAAGGAGAAATGCAATGACCAATAGATTTATGATGCATTTCCTTTCATCTCCTCTATCTTTCTCATTGTCCCTCCATCCCCTCCCCCCCTTTCAAGCCCCTTTTTGGGCACCCATGGCTTCTACCCCACGACTACGCTCGATTCATAGAATACACTACACCGTTTTCCTCTGGGAATTGTTTGGGTGAGGAAGAGATATTTGTAAAGATGCACCAACTGACGTCTCCCAGTTTCACCTGTTGAACACGGCGATTCTTAGTTTGCCACTAGTGTCAGCTTGTTTCCCCTTTCACCTCCTGTGTGCAAGCGGTCGCCTAGAGAAGTGTGGACGAAGTCGCCCATGCTGCTGGTTCCTTACATGGGGTGTCCTTCTTTCCAGGCAGGGCTCCGTAAAGGATACAGTTTGCCCATTTGAAACATGGCTTTTTATTAAAATGTAAGGATCCCTGTTTGCAGTTGAGAGAATGCTAGTAAGTGCGAACTCATGATACTTGCCTACCGGCTGCTTGAGGAACACTAAGCACAGCTGGTCGGGATCATTCCCAGGCAACAAGTGGATGTATCCTCTTTGAATCTACCCATGGGCATTCCATTTTGGGTACATGTTGTTTTGACCCACAGCCAAACCCACGGTTTCAGGAACGCCCCACCAAGGTTCGCGGACGTCAAGCAGGTCATCGTTCCTAGGGAGCCCAGAGCTGCTCCATCAAAGCAGACGGCTGTGCTGGCCGGCGGAGAGCATCTTGGGCTCATGGCAGGTCTGCTTTTTTTGAGGGAGTGGTTTTAAAGAGAAAACACAAGGAACCCATATTTTTGTTGGCGGAGAGTAGGGGAACAGCAAGGCAACCCTCATTGGGGCTGGCTATTTTAACACATACCCAGACTTAGCCGTGATTCATAGCTAAACGCTTGATTAAGCGCAGTGAACCGGTGTTTTTCGTTCGTTTCCCCCTAGCAGCAAAGAGCAATTTTGTTTCTCTTGTTTGTTTGTTTTTTCCGCAAGGTCTAGCCCAGGGATCAATGAGCAAGTGTTATCCAATTTACTAGAAACACCAAGGAAGCAACCTCACATAGCCTCTCGATTTTGCACCTCTAACTTCGCGCGCTCAGGAGTCCACGCTACTTCAGCAACAAATTCGACCATTTGGACCCGGCGATTCTGTGCCTGCAGTGGACAGGACGAGCCCCTGGCACCTATATGTGGCACATGATCCTGCGCAAAACGTGCTATTTTGTTTTGAGAAGCTCCTTTTGTTTAAGGGCTATTGCTTTCATTTTTCAAGTGTCGTTGATTTGGTTGCTTGTACTGTACATGTTTGGTGTACACGTTTGGTTTGGGTCCATTCCGCCCTTCCAGCAATTGTTCTGCCCTTAAGTTGTTGGAAAGATATTCGCTCGGAAGGGCCAAGAGTTTGTTTGCTTCGCGTTTAAACTTGGGTCTTGTTCCTTTCCACGTCGGGTCTGACTTGACACATGCTGTGGTGCCTTCTTCGGGCATAGCCACAGTCACGACCGAGCCCCTTGGAAGTTTCGTAGCGGATGTTGGACGACTCTGCAGGTGTCGTTGCCAGAATGAGCTGGCCTGTCTCACTTGTTGCCTTTGTTTCCTGATGACTGAGTATTTTTAGCTGCTGTGTGCCTTCGAACTGTTTGCCACTGTTTCCCAGGTTGTCCGAGCCTTGCCAGAGCGCATTGGCCCAGGATTTTGAAGGATCTGAGAGACAAGTACATCCCAGGCAAGGGCAAACTGCGGGTCATCGTCATTACCGACGGCTTGGACGTGAGTAGTCCTCAGCCCTACCAGGGGATTCAGGGCATGGACCCGATGATGAAAGAGCTCTTGAAGGACTGGGAACATGACAGCCTGTATTTGGGTTTGTGTCAAAATAGGGAGACCCCCCCAAATGGTTTCCTGTTGGTTCCCTTTAAAAAAGGCGTACCCTAGAAAAGCAAATTCACCCCTGTAGGCTCTACTATAGCCCCAATGAAGCTAGGTAGTACCACCTAGTAGTATTGCATTTGACATGGTTAAGTTCCACATGATCTGCCTATTTTCTGGAGGACTGCACTAAGACATGATGTTGATGTTTCCCCTCAAAGAAAGTAAAACTGTATTGAGAGCGTGTTTTTTTTGTTGTTTAATGTTGTTTTGTTCCGGGACTTCCTGTATCATGGCAGCAGGATGGCTATGATATCGAATGGCACATCGTAGTGGTGGACATCTCGACTGGCATTTTAGGATCAATGATTGAGAAAGCGGCTACATCCAGATACGAGGCGCTGGCGGAAAGCACTGGCGGAGGCTTCCTGCATATCGACCAGCCGGGGGTAATGGACGATTTTAGTTCCTTGGCTGCTGCTTTGTTGCAGTTTTGGCCTGCGAACATGTGGCATGTTCCCACCAATCCGCAAGCATACTGTTTTGAATTGGGGCAATGGCCGCCAAGGTTCTAGGCATTTCTTGAGCTCGCTTGAGAAAGCCGTCACCGGCGGCAAGACAAACTTCCTGAACAGTGACGAGTTCAAGCAGCAGCGCGGTAAGGGCGCGCATTTCTTGAGCCGCTTGCACACGAGCAACCTCCATGCACAAGACCAAGAAGAAGACCAACGACGCCGGCAGAAGCAACTGGAAGATTACAAGTCGAAAGGCAAAGCGATGCCGTGGTTGCCTCTCTTAGAGTCTGCCCTGAAAAAGAAGTAGAGGTTGGAGTTGGAATGTCTGGAAATCGAAGCTGCAGGAGTTCCCCTTGGCTCGGATGCTGTGGGCTGGCGAGTCGCAACATGACGTCGGGTACCGAAATGAATTCCGCATTTTGAACGTCCGAGACGCGTCACCAGAAGATTCAATGGATTCAAGAAGGACCTCAATCGATGATTGTTCCTAGCATGGAACGAACATTTTCCGCAATTGCCGGAGCATGCGCCGATCAATGGCATCCGCTTAAGGGAAAAAGTGGTGGCCGGCTTCCATTGGCTAAGGTGTGTGCGAAGACGAGTTTCAGTTTGGAGAACCTCCCGATCCACGTCCATAATTTGTAGAAAGAGTGCACATGAACTGGAAGGTGCGCTGGCTTTTGGACTTGTCAAAGACAAGCAACTGAAAAGGGTTTAGATACCGGCGCAGTTGAAGCAACAAGGCGACGTTTCCCTTACTCTTTGAGTTCCCGGACTTGAGTTTTTGTTGGGGAATACCATTTGAGGCGGGCAACCCAAGCCATCAACACCCACTTTGGGGCCCTCGGAAGTGGCCGTGGTTGTCAAAACCGTTTTGGGATCCCATTTTGGGGGAGGTGAATTCCCCACCCATGTCAGGTTTCCTGTTTTAGTGGTTGGATGCAATCGGATGTTCACTGGGGGTAACGATTTGGGCTTTGGACCCAGTGGCTTCGTGCCGGAGGCGTCTACTGCGCGCGGCTGCAGGAGGTCGAGCGCCCAAGGCCCTTCCTTGCAGCCTGCGCGCCACCGCCCACCGAAGTTGAGGCGGTCCGAGGGCGCTGTCGAAAAGCGGGGGGAACGAGGGACGAGGGACGGTTTCAGCGAAGTTCCGAAGCGGAAGGTTCACTTTCGGGCAGTTTGCCAAGAGAGGTTATGACTGAACAACTTTTTGCCAACTGATTTTTTTTTTCATGAGTCCACTAAAGGTTAAACTTTTAGCAGGGGAGCAAAATGCAACCGAGTTAGGGGGCAGTTGCCACAGGTGAACAGAGCCCTGTACCGGATTTCGACAAGGACTTTACTGAAGCGTTTCGTGTTTTTTTTGGGTTGGTGACATGTCCTACTTGGGGATTCCTATAATCATTCATGATGAGCTGGGCGAGGGACATGATATGACCCAGTCGTAAAATGTGTTCTCTCTGCCAATGCCTCCAGAGTTATCCAAACGGTTTGTCCTCGCGCAGGGTTTGCTTCGTTGGGTTCAGGGTTGTCCTTTGACTGCCATGGAAACACATCGCTGGCAAGTTCCCAAGTGAGTCTCAATCAAAACCCGGGTAGATGAAGGTTAGTAAGGGACGATCCCAACCAGAAATAGCTGCGGCGTCGTTCTAAATTCTTTATGGTTCTGGGTAGACCAGCTCAAGTGGGCAGAGACTTCCTCGTGGAGCTATGCCAATCGGGATTCGCCTCCGACCCGGACTCCTCGCACGAGCTGACCCCAATTTGGCATCCCGCAATGCCGTATGTGAACAAGCCACATCCAGCCACAAAACGCCAATGAATGGTGTAAACCCTTTTTCCCACAATCATGGAAGTGAACAGGGGGAAATGCGTCTTCAAAACCCTTGTGACTTTCCTGATTGTTTGAGGGAGGGACAAATTTGTGGAGAATTTCAGGGTTTCCGTTGTTCCCCCCACTTGCAATATGTAGGGCATCCACTGTATTAGCCTTTCTCAGGCCTTGGCATCCCATTCATAGGGTGAAGCTCGACCAAACGAATCTCCCAGTTCAGTGAATTCCATTACTTTCTCCCTTTTGCTTGCTGTGCCTCCAACAGAGGTCGCCTTTCGTGAATGGCTGCAGGGTTCCAATACGTTCTTTCTTTTCGTGGCTCCAAATTCATCACCTTTTGCGACCATTCCGCGAGTTTCCTGCAGGCAGGGAAATGAATGGATCCTCGAGCCTTTATCGGAAACCGGGTCTTACGCTAACTACGGTGGCAACAGCCAATAGTTACTGTCATTTACGGTAGGAGATGGTATGGGTCACAATCACCAAATTGGGCAAGATCAACTTACCCTTCAAAAGGGTCCATGTCAGGTGATTTTTTCCATAAGGTTATCCCTTTTATACATGTCCCATAGTTTCCCTTGAGTTTAACAAGTATCATGTAAAGCAACCCAGGCAAATGGACACACTGTCTAGAATCCGCCGTCAAGTATCATGTATAAAGCAACCCAGGCAAATGGACACACTGTCTAGAATCTGCCGTCAAGTATCATGTAAAGCAACCCAGGCAAATGGACACTGGCTAGAAAATCTGCCATCCGAGCCATGGTTTATCCATCCCTGGTGCCGATCTCCTCGATTTCGATCTCAGGCAACGTACCACGACTTCCAAGAGATCTCCTTGGCAGCGATGCTCGCCCGCATCCTGCGAACCCTTTTTGGGCCCCAAAGGTCTTGTTTTCGCCACGCCCTACCCCACCCTCCCCTCCCAAAGAAAAAAGAGGACGGTTCATGGTGCCTAGTAGTTCAAAGCAGCCAAAAGAAGGACATCTCAGAGCCTCCAAACTGGGGTTCCTTGAGCTTCATGGGGTTCCCCCAAAAGAAGACACCCATTCTGTTCTGGGCCTGGTGATCCTTTGCTTGAGACTCAAGCATCCCTGGGCCATCGTCTAAGATTACTCTCCTGGTGAGAAGTTTAATGGAGACATTGGGGACCCCTGTCTAGTTGGTTGGGTGTTATATGTTGGAACCCCAAAGTAAGCCAACCACCTTGTGGGCTCATGGGTCCAGGGTTCCATATGCCAACTTTTGCGCAGGATGAGCTGAAGAAATTCAAGTTCGGGGGGTCTGTCTCAAGCAAACCCTTTCTGAAAACGGGTTTTAAAGGGGAGTAATCCATTGCCACCCGACGCGAGAGCTCCGGGTAGAACAGGTAGGCAACCATGCCGAGGGCCCGGATAACAGATGAGCCACGTCCTCAAAACCTGGGTAGATAAAGGCTAGTAAGGGAATAAATCGCTGCGGAATTCCGCCGTCTTAATTCTTGAAGCATGGTTCTGGGTCGACCATTTTAATGCCGGGTTTTGACTATGACTCAGATGGCTTTGCGGCATTTAGGAAGGCACAAGGATTCTCTAACTCACGTTACCACTTCTATAAATCCTATGGCTGATTTGGGTGAAGGTAGGCGTAGCCGTGTGTTTGTGACAGCTTGCGAGCAACTGTTAGGAACTTTTATCGAAAGAAACAACAAGGAATGTGGTTTTTCATGTATGGCCCCACGTATGCTTCCCACCGCCTCGTGAGATGCTCCATTTCGTCCATTGACGCCGATGTGAATCCGTAGAAACCCACGACAACAATCCCGATAATCCCCACCCCCCAAAGCAGTGCCTTACTGGATGATGGCTCTGAAGGGAAATTAATGTGAATCTCAGCATGAGAGAGGGTTCTCTGAGTCAGAATCAATGCCTGTCGAGGTGAAACGAAAGAACCGAAAGGCCGCACCCACTAGTTCGGACTGTCCCCTTCTCAACCTTAGCTACCCAAATTAAAGGTTCGTCAGGGATGCCTTCCAGGCCCCCCAGCCCCGAAAAGACAACGGAGCATGCCCCTCGGCAAGTGGGGGGAAGCTCGCGTTTTGCCTTATTGGTGTGATGAAAGAGAATGCTATGGACCACGTTGATGAACTTCCTCGTTGGCCAACCAGAAGCAGATGTCTCTTTTTGGCGCTGGCTCCGTTAAAGGGAAACCACAGCAGGGTGTCCACACTTTGAGACACAGCCATGATACCATGAGTCCAAAAATGGGATCCGGACCCCGAAGCTCTTCGAAGACTCCATTCGGAACCATTTTGGGAGGGAACCATGATCAGTGGATTTTATGTGGAAACCAATCGGGAAGCGCCCCATTCCACATCTCATGAGACAAGCCGTGTTGTTCTTGCTCATCCCTATTTGACACCGGCTTTATCCCAAATCAACCTTTGAAGTGGTATCTTTTCAGTCAGGGCTTGAGATGATACCCTGAAGAAAATGGGTCTTGGGTGACTCGTTTGGGTTTCGGAAAAGGGAAGCTGGCCCCATTTGAGTGCTCCCTCATGGTTTGCTCATGGATTCCCTTTTGGTTTCCCCGCTGGTGATAAGATCCAGGATTACTAAGATATAGCGGTTTAATGGAGAGGCTCTATCACTTTCTTGCTGTTGCCTCTCATCTCTCAACATCTCGCACACCAAATAAGAAAGCAAGATGTGGGGAAGGGAAAGAGTTGGCAGGTAAGAAGTGATGGTCCAACTCATTCACTTCCCTTCCTCATCCTCCATCCCTTATAACATAAACACACAATATAAAACAATAATTGTGCACGAATGAAAAGAGATTCATCAAGGACTAGAAAGAAGAAATCAATATGAGTATTATAAGAAATAAGTTGGGTAGATAAATAGTAAGTGAAAGAGATAAATCAGAACTTATATTAAACAAATATGAAGAAGATGAATGAAGATATCATCCAACAGCTGTCTATTCTTTCATTCCCTCACCAACTCTGGGATCTTGATCATAAAGGTTCCATAAACTCCTCGTACCAAGCACCAGGCTTGGTCTTTGTTAAGGTTTCAGGGGGGGTTCTCCAGGGAGCAGCGCCCAAAATCCGAGGCTTGGACGGTTACATCAGAACCCACATAAATGATACACCTTTGTGACCATATCTAGGTCCCCCAGTGGTGCCCTTTTACCCTTTTTTGGGGGAGGGTTCCCCTACAGAAAAAGAAACGGTACCCTAATCTAACTCTCTACTGGAGGATCTAGATGTTGGTAGCGCCACAAGTCAACGGATTTTGTCCGCTCGGACACAGGCTGATTTTGGCGGCCTACCAGCATCAGCTTCCGGTCCTGAAAAGCTTGGTGTCCTCGCTGTACCATGCCCGACGCTCATTCGCAGAGGGATGGGGCTGGGCCGCTTCTCAATGCTAGGTCCCCCAGCTAGGTGCCCTTTTATCGTTTCTTTTTTTGAGGAGGGTTCCCCTACTAAAATAGACTACAGAAAAAATTCGGGCACCCTTATTCTGACGTTTCTACTGGAGGATCTAGCCAAAATGGAGGGCTCGAGAAGATGTTCGTCACAGAAAGGCTCATTTTCCGACACGGGCTGGGGTGCTGGGGGATTTCCCCTCTGCTCCTGGTGTCCGGGAGCACCCTTGAACATTTTTGATGGACATACGTTCCATGGTAGCTGCTGTGCACCAAATCCCCAGTTAAAACGAGAGCCAAACAAAAAAAATGTAAGTCAATTCTGGCTGAAGGAATGGTTGCTCCAGACACCTTTGTCGCAAGGAATGGTTGCTTCACCTTCGCTTGAAGAACATTGGCTTGGGTTTCCTTGGGCTTTCGATCCGGTCTGAGCACCGGAAGACTGCCAAAAACCAGCCGTCGCTTGGGGCAACTTGTTTTCAGACGCTGGGTGAACGCTGGGCGGGTGGGTTGGAATTTCATGGGAGGTTTTTCTTTGCCTTTGAACAGGGAAATCAAAGGGTTGGATTGTTAGGGCTAGGTGGGTTTCATGAACTGGGACCTCTCAAATGACATCCCTGTGCATCTCAGGTTCAGATTCTGGTTGCCAGAATCTGGAAATGCCTCCCATCTTGAGCAAAAGCTGAAGGGAGCTCAAGGCCTGGAAGCCCCGTGTGAGCTTTCAAGAGGTGTCCGATGAAGCAGTGGGTTTACCCACCAAGCCACGTGTGTTTGCGAAACATCAGCTGCACCACTCAACGGTGTCTGAGAAAAATACTAGGGCCCCCAGTAGTGCGCTTTTACCCTTTTTGGGGGGAGGGTTCCCCAACTGAAACAGACTACAGAAAAAAAGGGGTACCCTTATTCTAACCTCTCTACGGGAGGACCTAGAATATGTGAGTTCCCTCTCGTGCGTTGGGTATTTAGTCGCTGACAAGCATGCTAAGGCAATCGTGACTGCGGCTTTAACCATGGCCCTCGGGCACATGGCTTCGGGGTGAAGACAGAACATGGGGGGAACGAATTTGTTTTTTCACGTTGTTTTCCATGGCCAGTGCCATGGGCCATGAAGGCTTTCCCTTGGCCAAGGAACTGTCCGAAACCCTTTCCTCTCTCAAGGCCACCACTTCCTGATCCACGTGGACCTCAAGAGTGCGACGCTCCTGGAAGGCTTAAAAGCCTGGGCGGCGCCCTTCCGCAACGTGCACGTGCCACCGCGAAGTTCGAAGCTTCGAGCGAGCGGGGGTTCGGTTTCGGCGCCTTCCTTTCGAACCCGAAGAATGCCAGCCGGATTTCTACGTGCATGGGTTTCCGGGGTTCAAGGGAATACAGGGTCTGAAGAGGAAAGCCTTTGCTTGTGAAGGGATTCTTTTTTGTGGTGCAATATGTAGCCGGGAAATATCATGACCGAATGGTGGGAACATACATAGGCACTTTCAAAACTAGGCGGATCCCAAAAATGGTGGTCTTCCTTTCGGTTTCACTTAAAGCCAACCCAACAGGTAGCCTTACCCGCAGGTACTCCCTTCAAATTGGGAAGCCGGGTGGGGAGGATTGGTTCAGGCGCGTTTGGACGCGTCCCTGGTGCAAGTGTCCATGTTTTTGTTTTTGTTGTTTTACTGCAACTCACCGGTGTCATTGTTTTGACGGTTTCTGGGGGTTCTTAAAGTCAGAAAATGGGGTTGTTTCCCTTAACCCACCACTTAGGGGGTGACTTTGATCATTGTAGAATAATGAGGCCAGACTCATACCCCTTCCATTTGGTTCCCTCGCCAGCCCACTGCATAGTGCAAAAGCGCTCACAGAGGTGAAACTTCCAGTGCATCAGAATTGGATCACATGTAGGCAAAGGTTGATATATGGGGGTTGATCAAAAGGTCCTTGCAAGGAGTTATGTATTCGGTGACCATTCGTCTTTCTTTAAATCCCTCCGCGAAAGATCGGCGATGGAGTTCGCGAAAGGAACTTTATTTTTCGCGAAAGATTCCGCGTTGGGTTCTTGGAGGCATCCTGTGCACTTGCATATTTGCAGACCCTGCTCCCTTGTAGACAGGGAGATGCGCAGCACTTATACTTGCATTATTGATTCTCATTCCTGTGTTGGGAATGGTGCAAACCAATAACGTTGGCTGGGCTATTTTGGAGCAAGTTTCGCGAAAGATCCGCGAAAGACCGGCGAAAGTCCATGGAGCTTGTTGCAAGGTTCCGCACTTCCCCGGAATGACGGTGACCGCTTTCTTTTAACGCTACTGCAAGCCTGCCAGCGCAAGTGAACTGCGGCTATTACTGTGTTTGCAAGCACAACTGCAGCAGCCACAATGGCTCCAGAGCGCACGCTGCAAACAAAAGGGCGTGGCGATGGAGTCGCGAAAGATTCGCGAAAGAAGCTTTTTTTCTCGCGAAGATGGCGTTTTCCGGAAAGAGGAATATTGATCAACTGCCATATATATATATATATATACATCTACTGTAGAAATAAGGTGACGTCTTGTAAATACAACATCATGGTGCGGATCCGAGAAATTCCCCTGCGAGAACAATGAGTACTAAGAGAGCCCCCAAAAAGTTCTCAAGATGTATTCCCTACATATTGGCTGCGGCTGTGCCTTTGGTGCGTGTTCGACTCACTAAAGGAACTGACACTGATTCAAGAAGATCAGTTTCGATTTGGGGTTTTGATCATTTGAGCCTTGCACAGTTGGCTTTTGGAGCCTGTGTTGTCATCTTGCGCGTTTGATCATGCCAGTTTCCAGAGTAACCTCAAGGCCAGTAATAGAAATACGTGTGTCTTCGTTTGTGTGGCAACCTCAAAAATGCGTGGTTTCCCTGTTTGCTTTCCAACCCAAAAAAGAGGGGGTACCGTCAAAAAGAGATACGTAAACGAGAGGCCAGAACCTTTGCGTATGGGTATGGACAATGTGGCTTTGGGCGGCCACAAGTGACCCATATGAAAAAATGCTTTTTAGAATTTCCCTGTGAATTTCACGTTTGTCTCGGACATGGATATTATGTTTGCTTGAATCCCTGTTTGGATGTGGTTTTGAGGGAAACCACAAAGAAAGCGTACGAGTAGGAGCCCCAAGATTGTTGGGACACATCCATAAGCGTATGTCTGTTTGGAATCTACCCTTTTGGGGGTCGTTTAGGGGAAGCCAAGTGGACACCCCGTTTTGCAGTGCCAGACTTACTCTGTAACTTTTCTGACTTGTTGTTTTTCCGCCTTTGTCCCTTCCCACCAGCAAGAAGTCCACTTGTTTTTGTTTGGGTCTGATCAGTGCAGCCGAGCCCAGTCCTTTGTTGCGGGGGTCCTTAGAGACGTTTCACTGCACATGTGCCATGGTCAAATGGGGACCTGACCCGACTTCCCCATCTCTTGAGCAAAAGGTATATGTCAACATGGGGAGAGCCCCAAAATGGTGGTGACCGCTGAAACCTGCGTAGTTTTGTTTGGGGCTGTGCCCACGATTGTGGAAACTTGTTTTTTTGCCAAGAGGACCCCAGTGACAATATCGGGCTGAAACTCCTACTTTGCTACAGCAAGGATTACTTTTCACGACTTGTGATTCCCTTTAATCCAACCTGAAACAGATGCCCTCAACAGTACAAACGCACACAGATATACATATACATGTACATATATATATATATATACACATGCTCACACACACAATATAGATACATATATATATACAATATACATAATAATATATATATATATAACTCCGGTCATTCTGTCCAACCCTGTGGCCTCGTGCCGTCGTGCGAGGTGCGCTCCCAAGTGTCGGTGAAGCGCTCTGGCGCCTCGCTGCTGGCGGCGGAGATCTATGGCATGCTGGAGCTACCTGGTATGTGGAACTTAACTCTGTCAGATGCAATGCTACTAGGTGACCACTACCTGGCTTCATTGGGGCTATAGTACAGCCCTTTTTGGGGGTAATTTGCATTTCTAGGGTACTGCCTTTTGGAGTTGGTTGAAAGGGAAACCAACAGGAAACCATTTGGGTGTCTTTTTTAGGGGCTGCCGCAAAAAGAAAAAGAAGAAGAATAAGTGATATTCCTTTTGGTTTCCCTGTAAAACCATAGAATGGTACCCTCCAAAAGCAGATCAAGAGAACCATCCTTAAACCTGACAAGAAAAAACAAATTGCTGGTTACCTGTATGGGGTAGCTGAGATTCGCTTGGATTCATGTCTCAGTGCTTGCAGTTCATATTTTCTTTAGTAACCATCGGGAGCTATCATAAACCAAAGCTTTCCCACCTCCCACACTAACCATGGCAAGGGCCAGTTACCCCAGTTGTCCCCGGGTCATTCTAGCGGTAACTTCCAACCATTCGGAAGCCAGGGATCGTTCTTTCCACCGGCCACCCAAAGAATGGCAGGGAAGCCTGCTGCTTTGTGAATGATGGCTGAAAAGAATGGGGAGTCAACCCCGGGAATGTCTACCCTCTTGCAGAGTTTCGTCTCCAAGGGTTCCTTTTGAAGGGGAGGTTCATGGGTGCCTCGCACAAAAAAGTAACATTGTAACGTGTTCCTTTTAAGCTTGTTTCGCGCACATCTTTCTAAAAGCCGGATTAACAGGCAAACACTTGCAGTGGCCATGGTTAGTCAACCGACAGGCACCTCAACCATCTCCAGCCGGGCTTATCCACATGGCTGTGGGCTGTGGGTCAAAAACATGGTAACCCCAAAATGGCTTGCCCGATCGGTAAGTGGCAACATGGACGATTTAACCTGCGGTCCATATCCTGGCGGAACAAAAGTTTGGTGCTGGCTGTGTTGATCTTAGGCTGCTGAACCTCTCGGCGTGGCACTACTTCCTGGTACTCTCCGACAGCGACCAGATGGCCGGGGGCCCGGAGTTGGGCGAACTCCACCGGCCAAGGTCGCGATGGCTCCGATTCACTTCCATTGGCTGAAATGTGTTTTATGTCTTCCCCTGGTTTTAAAGGGAATCTATGACTGCTGGAAACATGTTCATGTTTTCCAGGGGGCGAAAAAGCAAATGGAAGTTCAGGTCCAACAAAGTGCCTAGCTGGAGACTCTTTGGAGCTGCTGTCCGGCAGTTGTTCGTTTCAACCCCGCAAAATGTAGAGGTTGCCCAAACCTGCATCACACTTGGCAACCAAACTCTGGGGGCTCTCCTTTTTGGCAATGTCCACCCAGGATTCATACACCTATTCTTCCATTTGCTTAAGATATTGTTTCTAGTTTCCCTTGTTGGTTTTAAGGGAAACTATCAATACTGGACACATGTTTATTTTCTCCAGGTAGCTTAAGCAAATGGACGTATTGAATAATCCAGGGTTTATTGGGTTGAATAATCCAGGTGGCTTAAGCACTGGGGGTTGATTGGTTGTATGTTCATCCAGGGTCAGCAGGGCGGTATGGGCTTGGCATCTTCAGCCCGCGGCCATTGGGCTCGAGGGGATCGCACCACTCATCGCGCGCCTCCGTGCCAAGCGGACCGAGAGGATGGCGCACAAGTCCAACCCCTACAAGAAGGCCGGGAGAGACGTCATGGTTGTTGTTGGGAAACATTTTACATTTAAATTGTTGCGTATTGTTGCTTAGTGTAAAACGACATTGATGTTGTTGTTGTTGTTGGGAAATGGTTGTTGTTGCTGGTTGACTCTGATGAACCCTGTCACTCTGATGAACCCTGTCAGCTTTGCCAGGCTCACATGGCTCACAGCTGGGAATCAGTGCAGAGGTCTGGCAAAGACATTCATTTCATGGTTGTTGTTGGAAAACCCTTTTACATTTTGCTTGCATGGTTGCAAGGGGCAAAAAATCGAGCCCCAAAAAGGAAGGTTACCATGGGAACCACCGATTGAACCCTTACAAATTCCTTTTTGACCCTTTTTCATGGTTGTTGGGAATCATTTTACTGTGTTTTGTTTAGGAGTGACTCAACTCCTTCCAACGTCAACCAAGCCGTGATCGCGGCAACTGTGTGAAAGCGTCCTTGGACTCGCCGAAGAAACTCGCATTTTCTGATGACCTTATTCTAAGCTCTCAAATCTGGAGGGCCTATTGAGCTGCACCAGGCTTCGTGTGGCTTGCAACTGGGGACCGGGGGTCAGTTGCCGATGTGCCCAGGCTTTCCGGCGCTTTTTTCCCCTGTGCCCGCACATTTCAGAGAGGGGGCGTGTTGGTATACGCAAGAGGGACCAAAGGTGTCCTTTTTGGTTGAGTTGGTTGAAAAATGGAGGGCCCTGGCTTACTTGGTGTTCAATCAACTACCAGGGCCATCTATTTTCAACCAAAAAGGACAGACACCTATAAGAGGGACCCGAAGAATGGCTATTCTCTTGCGTTCCCTTTCATACAAGCTGAGAAGGATACCGAAACCAACACACCCACAGCGGGAGACGTCGGCCCTCCCTGGTAGGCTCGGTCCAAGTTTCGCTGGAAGTGGAAGAAGCACCTGGGTTGCACGTTGCCGCTTTCATGTGTTGTTTGCTTGTTTGCTTGTTTGCTTGGTTGGTTGCTGTGATTTGGTTCGTTTTGCTTTGTCTTGGTTTGGTTCGATTTGCTTTGTTTTGGTTTGCTTTCAACTGGGCCGGGTTGCAGAAATTCAAAAGACGCCAATGGGTCAATGTTCATTTGGGTCCCTTACAGTGAACATGTTGAGGGGTGTTCAAAAGTTGCTTTTAGGGGGGCCGTGTCCCTTTAAACCACCAGGTTGACCATCATGAGATGTCACTTCAACGAAGCCAATGGGTATGATTCTTGATTGAGGACCCTTTGGCGCACTTCGTTTACATGACTTCTGTCCACCAACCTCCTGTTGAGGGTTACGTTTCACAACCTTCACGCATGAATTCCTCGTAGCTCCTGGAGTATTGCTGAATGGGCAGTTGCCAGAATCCAACATGCCCATGGTGGATTTCTGATGATTCGGACCACAGCCTTTGAAAGAAACGCGAGCAAGCCTGGTCCCTGTAATACGCATTTCTTGTTTTTTTTGGGGAAGGGGGGGTCTGGGGGGGGGGGGGGGGCGTTCTCAACAACCCGAGCCTTTTGGATAAGGAGTCAGTGAGTTCCCGAGGGAATGCCCGGCACCGTTGGACCAAGAGCTTGTTGGACGTGGCACGATGCTTGAATCGCGATTGCGGGTTCCAGAATGTGGGAAATACCTTGCTGACCTAGTGGGTGCATGCCATGTTGGGTGTTTCCAAGCATGTGAATTGGAGCCCTTCTCATGCATAGTCTCCTGTTTACCTGGCAGCTTAGCAGATTGCTGCTCTGCCGATCTTGGTCTGGTGGTGCTCTACAAGAGCTTCTTTCATGCAGGGAGGCACTGCCAGTCTGGGGACTACACCAAGCGTCATGTCTCATGACCTTCCCATTTTGTCCAGAGTCATGTTGGCTTTGGAGGGTTGAAGGAAGACCAAAAGCGGACCGTTTTAGGGGACCAGTTTGTTTCAGAAACCCCCTAGGTGGGGTCCGCCACCGGGCAATGGTACGGGTTCGCCTTGCTTCGCTGGGGTTGGATCTCAGGAAGCGCACGCGGCGATTGCAGAAGAAGCGCCGCAAGATGAGGCAGCGCTCCAAGTGAGGCGCTGGAAGTGGGTTTCGCTTGACTGCTATTGGGTTGGATCTTTCGACTTTAGCTTTTTGGGAAATAAAGGTGTTTTCTACAAAGCCCCCAAAAAGTTAAACTTTTTGCAGGGGGTCAACAGCAAACAAGTTTCATGTCTTCATGTTCTTTTATTTTTCCATCCCTGGGATGGAGGCTGGGTGGTTGGGGCGTTTTACATGGCTCTTGCTTGTTCGCAAGGCTCGTGCTGAACATGTTTGGGGATGGGTTGCTGCGGTGGAAACCTCAAGGGGGATGGGCATTCCATTTTCCAGATCCTCTGTGTAACACCCAGCTTTAGACAGAATCGGCATGAAACCATTTGGCCGGCTCCTACGCGCTGCGCTTGTTCTCAAGCCAAGCTGTTGGAGCTTTCAGCGGTAGCCAGCTGTTTGAGACCTTTCATTATTTTTCACTTTGAAGAGGGTTTTTACTCTTTACTGTTCAGGTTTCAATTGGTCAGCCCGTTTGTTTCCAAGTCCTTTGCTGAGTCAGGATAATGACCATATCTTTGCTTGGAATAGAAACGAGAGGGAACTGAACGCTTGTACTTATACATTTGTTGTCCACTTCGATGAAACAGTTTAAGCATGGGCGTTCACGGATGTCGCAGGGGTAGCGCAATTCCTGGTTAACAGATGTAGCATGTATGAGCGGCAGCTGCTTGTATGGTAGTAGCAGTTCTTCTCGAGTCGCGCAAAGAGCGTTGCTGTTCTGCGGTCTGTGCATGTGTGTGTGTGTGTTTGTGGCTTTCAGCGCCTCTCAGTTCTAATGATACAGTGCCTCAGGCAATGTAACTGCCCCTTTATAAGGCCTTGTCATCGCAGGAACCTACCCAACGTTTGAGGAGAACGGCTGTGTCACACTCACTCAGGTCAGGAAAAACAGCTTTGCAAAATATGTCTTTGCATTTCTGAACAGTGTTCCTTTTAAAAGTGAAGGATCGAACAAAATGTGACGCGCCTTTAATCCTTGCTAAGGGTTTAATAGGTGATATCCCTGCCCATAGCACCCACAGCCTCTCCTTGAAGGACCATGATTGGACGAAATCCAAGGAATCCCCCCAATGTCGAACCCCCGAGTTGTTTTTCCTTTACAAGAGCGTCCAAAGGTAAGTCCCAGCAGCAGTTCGAGAGGATCCTTCTGTCCGGCCAATGGACAACAAGGCCCTCCATCCTTATGCCAGCCGGTTGTAGTTTTTCTCGGATGTAGTGGTGCCCCAACACGGATTTTGGAACAGTGGCTTCCCCATTCTAGCAGGAGGCGTATCGCGCACAAGCAGAACTCCTCCACTGCAACGTTGACGGAACACCACGGGAGTTGTGTTCTCTTTCTGGGGACTGTCGACTGTCAGGGCTGCCTTTCGATGTCAGGGTTTATTCCGTTTTGTAATCCTGAAAGAATTGCACGTTGATCCATGTCCACTGGAAGGTTGCCCTTGAATAGGTCACCTAGGTCTTCTAGTAGAGAGGTTAGAATAAGAGTACCCTTTTTTCTGTAGTCTGTTTTAGTAGGGGAACCCTCCCCAAAAGAGTAAACGGGCACTAGTGGAAGACCTAGGTTCGCTGTTTCAGTGGGACAGTCACTGATCAAACTCAACACCATGTCACCCTCGAGACTTTAGGGAGCTATGCAAGCCTACGAGGCACTTGGCCCCCTGCTCATGTTCGGGCGCGAGAGGCTTGGCTTCAGGCTGGGCGCGCGTTTCCGCCACTGGATAGCGGGTGCCCCTTTTAGTTGGGACATCATCAACTAAAGTGGGTCTGTTTTTGCTTTTTTGGGGGTCCGGGGGAGGGGACACCCAAAGGAAAACCAATGTCACTTTGCGGGAGTTCAACCTCAAACAGACACCCAATTAGGGAACGGTCAACTTGCGCAAAATGCGCGGGTGCTACATGGTTGGCAGAATCCTTGACTGAATTCCCGCGTTGATGTTGACTGCTTTTTTGCACGAGGCTAGCTCCAAAGACCTGTGGCCTGCACATGCAAGTGCTGGCACGGGAGGTCAATATACCTTCCGAAAACAAGGAATGCCACTTGTCCAAGAAAGGCGTAGTATCCTACCCTATGTTTTTGACCCAGCCAAGCGGTAAAACTAGGGAGTCAAGAAACCGGTTCGGGGGTTGGACAATCACGGTGGACAACATCCTGCACCAGGATTGCGCTATCTCAGCATTCACGCGATTTCATTCGTCCCAACTCATGGTGTGGATGTCCATCTCCTGCTTTGCGTCGCCAGGTCGCAGGATGGAAAACGCGCGCCGCACGCCGATCTTTAGGCGATCTTCTCGGCGAAAACCAAGAGCTGCGGCCGCGTGTAAAATCCCCTCAGAGTCAAAGTCAAGCTGGGGTTTTCCGGAATAGCCCAGTCCATGGCAGTGACTGCCTTACGCTTTCCTTTCAAGCAAAGCCCAAACCATGGCGACATATTTTGCTGGACTCGCAGTGTTTCCCTTGTTTCCTTTTTTTTCTCCAAAAACGGTGGTGTTTTCTGCAAGGCTCCTTGTTTCCCTTGGCCAGTGTAGGTCTGGGTGGTTTGATTGGATGTTCAACCTGCGTTAGGCAAGCAGAATATATCCACGGTTATAAAGGGAACCAGTGAAGCTACTTGCCGGACATAGGTTGAACATTCATGTGCGGGAGTCTCAAACATAGAAACACTCCACCCCCCACCCCGTTCTTCAAGCATTGCAGAGATTGCGGCATGCGGTTGAGTTCCCAAGCATTGAACACGGAGAACTAGGCGAAGCATGTCATATCACCATGGTTTGAAATTGGTGTACTCTTGTGTGTGTGTGTGTTCTTGTTTGTGTGTGTGTGTGTTTGTTTGTTTGTTTGTTTGTTTGTTTGTTTGTTTGTTTGTTTTATTGCTTGTTTGTTTGTTTGTTTGTTTGTTTGTTTGTTTGTTTGTTTGTTTGTTTGTTTGTTTGTTTGTTTGTTTGTTTGTGTGTTTGCTTGTTTGTTTGTGTGTTTGTTTTTCTTTTCTTTTTTGTTTGTTTGTTTTGGTTTGTTTTGGTTTGTTTTGGTTTGTTTTGGTTTGGTTTGGTTTGTTTTGGTTTGTTTGTTTGTGTGTTTGTTGTTTGTTTGCTTGCTTGCTTGCTTGCTTTGCTTGCTTGCTTGCTTGCTTGCTTGCTTGCTTGCTTGCTTGCTTGCTTGCTTGCTTGCTTGCTTGCTTGCTTGCTTGCTTGCTTGTTTGTTTGTGTGTTTGTGTGTTTGTGTGTGTGTGCGTGTTTGCGCGCGCGCGTGTGTGTGTGTGTGTGTGTGTTGTATTTGTATGTGTATGACAGTGTGTGTGGCGGGGTGCGTGAGTGCGGTCTGTGTTTGTGTCTGTTTCTGTGTCTATGTCTGTGTCTGTGTCTGTGTCTGTGGTCTGTG